CCTGCCCACGCACGGGCTTGCACCGCTGCGTGTATACTGCACGCCACCCAGGGCCCTGCTGCACACACCCTCACGAAACGCACGTGCCCCAAGACCATGCATTGCGGTCTTGCATGCCTCCAGCTAGGCGCACCTGCCTGTGCACCCATGGGTTGCCAGCAGCCATCGAGGATGGCACACCTCCCCCTCCTTCTCTCTCTGCCCTTTCCCACCTGCCCCGGGGCAGAGTCCCCCTTGCCCACAGCCCTGTGGCAAGGGAACAGGGCTGAGTCAGAGGCCTGCAGCCTCTGCCTATGCTCGCTTCCACTCCTGCGGCCCCTGCAGAGCAGCTGTCTCCCGAAATCACGCACTTCCCTTCCCAGTACCTCAACTTCCCCATGGCAGAGTGATGCGAAGAGGAGCCATGGGCCCGACCGCCCCTGTCATCCGAGAATCAACCTTCTGCAACATCCCTTCGCCATGATCCCGTGGACATGGGTGCATGCCCTGAGCTTGCACGCAGCACACGCATTCACACGCGGCCCTGCAGCCCTGCTTGGTCCCCTGCACGCTTGCAGCAGGCGCTGCTGCCCTCGAGGCTGGGACGAGGAGGAGGAGGAGGAGGAGAAAGGCATTTGCACGTCCACCCTCGAGTAGGCTGCTCCCAGCCAAAGGATGCAGTGTGTGAAGGGCTGCCGGAAGCCCATTTCCCCTGGGGGTGCTGGGAGCAGCAGCCAGAACCAGTTGCAGCCCCCGCAGGGCTGGTTTCACTCCATCCCAGTGGCCGTCCCTGCCAACGAGCAGAGGGGAGATAGAGCACCCGAACGGAGGCAGAGCACCCGGAGGGCTCCCAAGCCCAGTGGCCAACCTGGCCCACTGCCCCGGCAGCCCATCTGCAGACAAGCACAGCACCCGGCTTGACCCTCGCCCACTTACTTGGCTCCAGCGCTTCGGAAATGGCTCTTCTTCAGCACAGATGCCAGCATCCTCTGAGCTGGTGGGTGCTGCCCTTCGCCACCCTGCAACGCTCAGCACCCCCAGCCCCAGGGCATCTCTCTCAGCCAGGGCTGGGGCCGCGCACCCAGGTTGGGCACCGCCAGGGGCCTCCTCCGGCTCGCTCTGCCCCAGCGGCTCTCACGGGTCCAGCCGCTGGGAGAGTGCGGGGGAATGACGAAG